GGGGCATGCTTAGCTCTAGACCCTAACCAGTCAAGGGAGATGGTTTTATCCCAGAGTCTGCTTGTGGGTCTGAGGAACAAAAAGAGAAGTCACTTTACCCTTTGTGGTAGGTAAGGGCTCACCAAGTGACCTTGGAGAAATCACATCACTTCTTTGAGCCTCAGCTTTCTCTATCTAGAAAATGGGAATAACACTGCCTAACCCATAAAGGTTTGTGTGAATCAGGTGCTGACCACACTGCATGACCCTAAGCCCTGGAGGATTCCTAGCTGAATGGAAAGGGGTGTGTGTGTGTGTGTGTGTGTGTGTGTGTGTGTGTGTGTGTGCGCGCGCGCGCGCGCGTGTGTGTAATTCATGTTTAAAAATTGTGGGGGTGGCATGTTTGAATGGCTTTTTAATGCCAAGAGATTTAGCCATTTTTTCTTACCTCTAGAAGGAGCAGAAGAAGCCTGCAGTTAATTCTTATCATAAAACCACCCCTTCATCTTGTTCAGATCATCCTGACTCTGGGTCCCTTGGGTGGCAGGCTTTTTTTTTCCTCAGCCATGCCTTGAGCGCAGTTGGGGAGAAGTCATGCCAACCACCTCCTCCACGTGACTCAGCACTTCTGCTGGGATTCTGGTTCTTTCAGCACATCCTAATAGAGAGTGATAAGGACTTATGTCCTAGGAGCAGAGAGGCTTAGGCTCTCCAGGTGGTGCCTGACCCCCCACCTGGTGACCATGCAGGCTGGAGGGTTAGACCGGCCTCCTAGCCTGTCCACTGAGCCCCCAAACCCAGGCACCAGAACAGCTGCAAAGCTGTCAAGCTTGGCATCTCTGAAAGGTTCTACCCCACTCACCTTTCTCTCACTTCCTCCCCACAGAGCCCACCACCTCAGTCAGGGAGGGAGAAAGAAACAAAAGATGATTCATCCCTTTTCAATCGCAGTCACCTGCCAGGCCTGTGCAGGCTGGTTGGGGGGCCCCCAGCTCACACGGAGGAAGGAAATCCCACCCGCCCGCTTGCAGGGCACACACAGGTCTCGTGTATGCCTTCAGGCCTGTGTGCAAACACAATTTGCATACCCCAACTTGTTTATGAGGCCTGGGCATAATTGGCTCACCCCACTCCACACCTCCATGCCCCCTCTTCTCCGACCCCCTCCCACCTCCACACACCCCGAAGGAAATTAGAAACCTGACAACAAACTCCAGTTGTCGAAAACTCACACGCCCACCACCAATCCCGGACTCCTGGAGTGGTGGAGGGGGTGGGGCTGCGGGTTGGGGAGTAATTGGTGAACCCAAGGTGAATGAAATAATTGGAAAAGTGAGGTGTGAGTTTGTTACCGAAGTGTGAGCCTGGTGCGGGAGGGAAGGAGGGCTGTGTTTAAAAGCCCAGTATGTCCTCTTTATTCACAGCTTCTGATACAGTAATTGCTACTTTGTGGTTTCTATTATCTACACAGTGGGGAGCACCTGTCTCCTTCCCGAGCGGCGGGGCTCCGGGAGGAGTTCCTGGGTGCCTGGTGATGTTCCTTCCTCCCTGGCGCCCGGTGGCCCTGCCCAGCCCTGCCCCCGCTCCCAGGAGACCAGGGTTCACGCAGAACTTCCTTCCAAAGCCGCTCTTAAAAATGGCTCCATAGACCTCGCTGTCAGATAAGCACCTTAATAATGGCTGGTATTTATATATCGCTTATCTCCAAGGAGCTAAAGGTACTCCATCGATTTCTTCTCCTCCGACCTTTTTTTTCTTTTTTAATTCTCTTTCGATATCTCTCTGAGATCATTAGTATTGGCCTTCTGTGATCCCACACAAGCGACTGAAGCCATTCACCACTCCTGCTTTGTTCTCGGGCCAGGAGAGGCAGCCCGAGTGAGAAAACTCGACTGGACTGCGAATCTTGGGCCAGGGACGTGGGCAAGTCACTTTCCCTCTCAGCCATTGGTTTTCTTACCTGTAAGGCAGAGGCGGTGATGCTATCGTCCCGCAGTTGGTGTTACGCTGGAAATGATATATCTAACAGACCTAGCACGCTGCGGACATTCATCGGCAGCTAGGGAGATGGCAGCACTGATGGCATCTTGAAACTGAGCCATACATTTCAGGAAGCTTCCACAGACATTGGGAAGTTCTTTCTAAGATCTAACCTTCATCTTACAGTTCCTCCTCAGCTCTCTCTCGTCCTCACTATAACCATTTCTCTGACTGTCTGAAGGATAAGGGGATTTTTGAAGCTACTAGGGTCTTTGGAGGCAGCATTTCAGTTGCCTTGCGGATATCTGTCTGGAAGCTCAGACCATGGCCATGGCCTCCCCAAGACCATCCAGCTGCCTGCGACTGGGTCCCCAGTGCCCTGAGCCCAGGTAGACCCAGGATGCCCTACTCCCCCGCCTCCCCTGCCGCGCTCTCAAATGCCATTTCTGCAGGCCACATAGGCTCGGCTCCTGCAGCCTTTCCTCACCAGCTTTTTTCTCTACCTTTTAATTATTTTCCTCGCCTTCCCCGGACCCTCAGCTGCTTACCATGCACAGAGCATCCACGGCTTGAAATGTGCCGCGAGAGGGAGGAATTAGCCTCAGCAGTCTCCCTCCTCTCTCACATGCACACACGCACATGGTCTGGCTCACCAGAAATTAGAGCGAAGAAACCTGGGCAGAGGTCACTGAGATCATCAAGGGGCAGGAGCCTGTAGCCCCTGTGGGCAGAAGTAGGGGGTTTGCATACGGTGTGGGCAGAAGGACCTTGGATTCGGTCTACCCCCTTCGCCCTGTGGTCTCGGGGAAGTCACTGCCCCCCTGGGAGTCCACGCAGGACTTTCCTGGCCTCCCCACACGCAACCTTCCTGTGTCACGCCAGACTTGGCCAGGTTCCGGGAAGAGGCCCTGACCCCTGAAAGCGGCCTGTCTCCATCCAGACGGTGGGAGGGATTGGGGCGTTGTGCAACGGAGAGAGCGCAATGCTCGGGTCCACGTTCTCCCCTTGCCACCTATGAGCAAGACCACTGCTCCCTGAGCCTCAGTCTCTTCATCTGTGACGTGGGGATGAGGAGAGCCATGGTAATTCACATTGGTGCTCTGTGTTACCCACGGCCCACGTCACTTGGTCTCACCACCACCCATGAGGGTCGGTGCAATTGACCCATAGTGACGTCTACCTTCCTGGACTTCCATCTGGTTGTGTGTTCATTCCCCCAAATATCTTGTGGCATCTACTCTGAGCCAGGCTCCAGGCTCAGTGCTGCAGGTGTCATGATGAGCACAACAGATGTGGTCTCTGCCCCTACAGAGCTGGGCCCAGCCCTGGCCAGGGCAAGGCTGAGAGGTAAGCAGGCGTTTACCCACAGCGCCTGGTCGGGGAGCCAGCGAGCTGCAACTCGGTGGGTGGGCCTCCAGGCAGTTGGGAGAGACTTAGAGCTAGTGGCTGTCAGGTGAGTCCAGGGCAGGGGTGGAGGGACCAGCACCCCCCCAAGGCTGCATGTCTGTGGCTGCGCCAAGAAAGCTCCCAGTGTGGTCCTTGTGCCTTCAGCTTCCTCGTGCCACCATGGATGCTCTCAGCCTCCAGTTCCCAGGGCCACCAGACATGCCATCCCTGTGGTCGCATCAGCTCCCTGAAGAACTTGGAGCCAAAGAACTACTCATCTGGCGAGTCTGCAGGAAAACTTATGGGTCCCCTCCCTCCTGCCCAAGGCTGGCGGCAGAGGGGTTCTGGAGGGGGAGACACAGTGTGTCTGTCGTGGGCCACGGTGGCCTGTAGGTGGCAGAATGAAGCAGGGTTTGTGGTTGGCTCCTGGGCTCTACAGTCTCACCTTCCTGTCCCCACCTGCCCAGCCCCTGGTCCCCAACCCCAGCCCCTTTCAGTGGGAGCACCTGATAGGCGGTACTCCCTGTGCCCCCAGGCTCCTTCCCCTCCCCCCAGGAGACTGGCCCTGACGCTGGAGCCTCTCCTCCCTGCTGGTCCTGGTCCTCATTCCCTGCTCAAAGGAGGCTCCAGGAGGGGGGACAGAGCTGCCGGGGAGAGCTCCACGGAGACGTGCAGATTCATTTTGAGGATTCATAATGCCGCATTTACACACTGTCCTGCCTTCGGAAATTGGGCTGGCAGATGCCTGGTCATGCTGGCAGGGCTGCGGGTTAACGCCTCGGATTTAGTTATATCATTTCATGAGAGCTTACGGCCTTTACTGTGTTTTTTACCCAATCGGTCTTTGGCCCTGAAGCATCCTAGACCGTCGTGCGGGGGTGTGTGTGCCCAGGCGGCCGCAAGTGTGTGTAGATTTTCAAATAAAATAATGCCTCTCTTCAGATGCCGTGCACATTAAATATTTATTGGCAGCAATTTGTGCGTATATATTTGATAAATGGACATTAGGAAGAGCTTGGGGGGTGGGGAGTGAGACAGGGAAGCAGGGGAACCCTGAGAAAGCCCGCTTCTTTTGTCCTAGAATTTCTCGAAGTTTTAACCCAGAGGAGAGGAGGTCCTGGGGATGGTCTGAGGCCATGTTTACCGTTGGATCCCTGTCGGGAGGAGCCAAACCATTTTCTTCTCCAGAGCTTTGCCCGACTTGGGCTTAGCAGACACCAGAACGAAAGATCGGAGGGAGGGGCCATGGGCTCGAGGGAGTAGCTGTGTGCCACTCAGCCGCGGAGCACAGAAGTAGCATCCCAGATCTCGGTCCTGGAGAAAGGACCTGTCCATTTATCCTACATGCTCAGTACCGGGTCGCTGTGTGCCCTGTGTGGATATAGAGGTGGATTTGAAAGGTCAGGAGACTACTGACTCCGTGTCCAGGACCCACATGGGTAGCCCCTCACTCTGGCCGGGGCCTCTCCAACCTGGCCACTGTGGTCCAAGGCTGCATCCCTCGGCGCACGGTTACCCCCACAGGGAAGGGGAGGACAGGTGCACCAGAGCCTCCAGCTGGTCACAGAGGAAGCATAGGTTCTCCATGGCATCTCCAACCTGATCATTCCCTCCCTGCCCTGTTTGCTGGCTGGGGCCTGGGCAGAGGAGGCCGCATGTGCCCTGGAGCCCATGCAGATGTGCGTGTGTACGTGTACCTGTGCCTGCCAGCACTCTTCTTGAATAAGCTGTGGAGACTCGCATGTGAAAATCAGGCCTCGATGCTTAAACCCCTATGTCTTGCCTTTTGTTTCTAGCACCTTTGGGGAGCTGAAGACGGTCCGCTTGCCAAAGAAGATGACTGGGACAGGAGCACACAGAGGATTCGGCTTTGTGGACTTCCTCACCAGGCAGGATGCGAAGGTGAGCCCAGGCCCTTCCCACCCGCCAGCCTCCCCTCTCCTTCGCCACGTAGGAGAAGCCTGGCCTATTAGCACATGTGGAGTGTCACCCCCCACGAGGGTCTCTCTTCTCCTCCCTGGACCCTGCTAATTTGTACAGCCTCCTTGGAAGATAAGACGCCGGGTTGTGTCTGAAGGAAGGGGCGGTTTCTGTGTCTCCCTCCCTTCCCCATTTCACACAGGCAGGAGCTGAGACACAAAAACCGGGGACAGGACACATTTGGGTTTCCCAGACCTCTCCAAGGCAGTGAGAAAATTCTTTGGTCCCAGTGGGCCCCCAGGCAGGCAGCATGGGTAGTGCTGTGTGGGGGACCAGGGCAGGACTCTCGGGAGGGAGGGTCAGAGGCACCCAAGAAGCAGCCATGGGAACGCTACTTTCCCCTCATTCTTTCTGCCCATGGCAGGGATTCCGTTTCTGGCCACGTGTGTACAGGGTCCCTCCAGGCCCTAGAGTCCAGCACACTTTCTATTTCTGAAACAAGGCAGTGTGTCCAAATTGGCTCTGTGCAGCAGGACCAGGCTTCGCTCTTGCAGTCCACCCAGCAGCAAATGGGGGGCAGCGACTCTGTGGATAGTACTCAGACTGTGTCCATGGCTGCTGTCCTCATGGCAGAATCCAGGAGGACGGCGGCCACAGAGCTATCATGGCGGCCTGCCCTCCACGAGCTCTGTGCCCACAACTGGCACATCCCCCCAGCCTCGCCTTCCCTCAAGGGTAAGATAAAGCGACAGGGAGGTCTCCCCAAGGCCAGGATCCCCTCCACCACTGACATGGCCTTTTCCATAAAAGCAGTGAGCATTTCTTGGAGCCACCCCCCATTAACCTCTAGTAAGTTGGCGTTGCAAGAGGCCCCGTGTGTGGGTCAGCTGTGCGGAGACGCAGTGATGGCTCAGGGACACAGCTGCGGCCTTTGTGGGTCCTGGGAACACACACAGGCAGAGAGGGCGTGCTGGGACCCTCAGGGAGCCTCGCCAGCCACCTTTGTCTTGCGTCTTGAGCTCAAGTGCCTATTTTGTCGACACGTGGCCGTGTTTGTTAGGACATCTGCTCGCGTCTCCCGTCTCCCCAGTCGGCAGCCTTCTCTTGTCCCATCAGGGATGGCAGGGCGGCAGCCTGCAGCAGGCCCAGCCTCTCCCTCAGGTGGGGCCTAGGAAGCAGTGGGGGGCGGTGTTGAGAGCAGCATCTTGACCCCCGCTCACCTTCCCTGTGCCTCAGTTTCCTCCTCTGTGGAACAGGAATGGTCGGGGCCTACCCTCCTTAAGAGTTGAGGCAGGCAATGCATGGGAAATCCTGGCCCGGTCCTGGCATGCAGTAGGCACACAATATGCGTCAGCTGTTTCTTCCTTATTACTACCAGTCCAGGCCCTGTCAGAGCCGCCCAGGCCCATGTGTGAATAAGAGCAACACAAGGGATTCTCTCCCTGCCCCTAAGAAATGTCTCTTATTAAGGCCAGCACTCTCGTGCAGTTAGAGCACAAACTTCGAAGCCAGGCTCCCTGAGTTTGAATCCCAGGGCTACCTCTAATCCCCCTTGTGACCTTGGGCACGGAATGTTTTTTCCCTGGGCCTTAGTTTTCCCCCCTTGTAAAACGATCTTAAGATTTTCCCTGTGATCTTAGAGCTGTTGTGAGGTTCGGATGGGACAGTTATCTTAGAACAGGACCTGGGCCCCCGTGTACTCTGGCTGTTGGCGGTGAGGAGGAGAATGGTGTTGGTGGTCATGGGATGATGGTGATGATCCGAAAATGAGAAGGGGAGGGAGGGAGCAGAGCGCAGAGACGTCCAAATGCCTTTGGCTGGAAGCCCTCCTTCCCCACCATGACCTCTCTACAGGGCTGCAAGGTCAGTGTTCAGAGTGGAGACACACTTGGAGCCTGGGGTGTCAGACCAGGACAAGCTCCCAGCCTTGACATGCCATGAGCTGCTTTGCCCTATCATGGTCAGCACATGTTGCTCCTTGGGGTTGCTAGAGCAGAGGGTGGACTCCCAGATCATCAGGGCAGTGCATGTGGTTGAGGGAGTCACCCAGGGCCCCACTGGCCTGCTCTCAGCCCTGAGGCCAGGCCACAGCGGCTCTTTGCCAAGTCCAGCACAGCCCTCTGGTGACTTATGGAGACGACAGCTCTTCTTCCCCTCCATCCCTTCTTGCCTTCCATCCTGGACTCCAGGAGGAGAGGGGACAGCCGAGGACGCTCGGGATCCACTCACAGCCCCCACCCCTGGGCTTGACTCTTCCTAGCCCCTGCCGTGGCTCCTCCCACTTAGCACTTCGGGCCTCAGCCCTCATTGCCTGCCAGGGAGCAAGCCGGGCTCCCAGGGAACACCAGCCCACTATGAACATCCCTCCTGCAAAGGCCCCTGTGCTCTTTTTGCTTCCCAGGGAAGCTAAGCTGCTTTCTCCTCCCAGTGTGTCTGGAGAACTTTATTGTCTCCTGAGTGGAACATTTAGCACTCTCCACTGACCCATAGAGCCATGCATACCACATTTTGGTGACTAGAATTCTGAATATCGTAAATAACTAGTTAGCTTGAGGGTGAACCTGAGTTTGAAGAGGAAGAACAGTATGGCCAGAGACACAGCTTTCTGTAGCTCAGCGGAAAGAAGCGGTGAGAATCCAGGCCTGGGAGAGGAGCCCCCATGGTCCCAGGCTTTCAGGGCAAGCCCCTACATGTTGAAGGGAGCTTTGCGGGAAGCAGACCTCCAGATCCCCGACCCATTCACCTGACCCACCAAGGGCACTGATCCCATTTCCTGTTATGGCCCACTCAGTCCCTGTTTTGGCATCAGCAACCTTTTGAGTCAGGAGATGGGCCCTAAGTCTTGCTCAGATAGGAGGAACGAAGGGGAAGGAAAGGTTGAGAAGCAGTGGTAGTAACAGGTAGAGAGGAGGCACTCACTGTATGAACACAGGCTGGAAAGCCACAGAGAAACTCATGGTTTAGGGGAGGGGCTGGTGCTGCAGCTTGAAGCTGGATGCCTTGACTCTCAGACTAGTGCTCTTTCCCCAGCATCAGCTAGTCCATCCACCTGCCAGCAGAGGCTAGAAGAGTCAGGACCCCTGTCAGTTCCTGAAGGCATGCCTTCCACACCAGTCTCTGCTTTGGCCCTGAGCATGCTCCATCTCCACCACTCCTGACTGAGCTTCTCAGAGTCTTCTGACCTTTCTCCAGGGGACTCACGTCCTTGGGGACTCTGTGCTCCATCAAGCCCCTTCTGGGTCAAGCACACCCCCATACTGGAGAGGAAATCCTAGCAAGAGACTTTGCGAAGACTGCCGTGGCCGAGCTCAGAGGAGCCAGGCAACTGGCAGGCACAACGAGAGGCCCCCGCAAGCACTGCCTTTGCACGTGACAGCTCCCTGCATACACATTGCCTCGCCCAACCTGTGGGAGACTTGCCTAGAGCCTCCCTCCCCAGGTTCTCTGCATTTTCTGGGCTCCAGCGCAGGCACCCCAGGGACCCCATGAATTGATGGGAAGCCCAGACCCTAGTCTGTGACAGAGACGCTCTGGCAAAGCAGGTGGGTCCTGGCCACCTGCCCTCATCAGTGACTGGAGCCCTGCTTGCAAGAAGCAGGATCGATGAGTTGGCATATTCTCCCACCCTAGGACATTTCATCAGCCCCTGATGTCCCGGGCAGTAAATGTCAGTCCCTCTGAAAGTGCTGGTGTTATCTAAACCTCCAGGTGTGATGATCCGGCACTTCTCAAAGAACGTTCCCATGTTGTGGGGTAAAGCAGGGGACGAGGGCTGACAAGGGAAGAGCAGGGATGACGCAGGAAGTCAAGGGCTCAAGTCAGGGTGGCCTTCGGGGTGGCCTGGGCCTGTGCGATGAACGTGGCTGTCTATCACGTCATCAGTGCCATGCGGTTCTCTGAGCCATGGGGATGTTTCTAAAAGGGCAGGATCTCCAAGTTGATAAGAACTACCAACTTCTGAAAGCTCACCTTTGGCAGGGATGGTGCTGGGCATTGCATATATAAGATTTTTTCCTCACAAGACTGTGGGATGGAGGTGGGAGGCTGTTTGACAGTTGGAGAAACTGAGGCTCAAAGGGCTGAAGTCATGTGCTCATGGTCGTACTGCCTGTGCTTGGCAGAGCTGGGAGAAATCAGACGCCAGAGCCCATGTATTCAGGGACTCCTCCCTACCCTCAGTCACTGATCCACTTAAACTGAGGTCGTATCCTCCCCCAACCATACCCACTACCTCCCACCCAGCCCTAACATCCCCCCAGAGGAAAGACTCACAAGTTAGGGGGACACTGTGGAGGAAGGCCAAGAGACTGTCCCTTCCAACACTCTTAGGAACAAGCCCAGGATGGAATCAGCTCCTCCTGCCTCCAAAGGAGGAATGGCCATCCTGCACCACCCCACACCACCCCCACCAGCACAGGCTGCTGCCCACATTCCAGCCCACCCAAGCCCAAGGAGCAGCCTCCTTCCTGGGCAAGCGTGCCCATCCCCATTGGCTGAGTGGCCACCAGGAACCACCAGGATTCCAGTTAGAAGCTGTCCCCTCCTGTCCCCTGACCCAGACCAGGCCAGTCATGGGGGAAGAAAGGAAGGGAGTGTGGAAGGGGAAGACCAGGACACGAACAGACTCGCAGCTCCAAAACCAGAATATTAGTGTCTTCCATGCCATGCGCCTTTGATTTCTCCTTCCCTGAGCCCGCCGTGCCTTTGTACTTTTGCAGTTGCAGCTGTTTTTATTTGCCGCCGCTGCTGTTGTTTTAAAAGGTCTATTTTCACATGGAATGTTATCCAATTAGCAGAGCAATGTGTCGGCTTAAATAAACACTTGGGGGGAGCCGGCAGCAGGGGACGCGGCGTGGTTGGTGCTGGCAGGCAGAGCTGCTCACGCTGCGGTAAACAGCCGCCTCTCTAACGGTAGGGCCGCGCCGGCTGACACCTCCTTTCCTCATCACCTGCTTTCTCATCCCACCAAGGGTGGGACAGAG